ATCAGGGCCTCATGTGGTTCCTGCCATGTACTGACAGATCCAGGGAAGACAATTGTCTGCAAAGTCTAGCTAAGGAAAAGACTGGAGAGCGGAATGTGGGAATCCAGGATATGCCAAGAAACAGACGTGTAAGTTTACAACTGCAACTTGGAGTGCGAAGGGACGCATATTTTGATTGGGCGGGGTATAGAGCTCACATTAAGGGACTTCTCCTTCTCTTACCCATCAGATTTACTCATGCTTCGAGTAGGCCCATGGAAATAAATGGGATTTAAGTAAGTCATGTATAAGCCAATATTCCCCCCCCCCAAAAAAGCAATTGTACCCAATAAAACAGGAGTCATCAAGTCACAGAACTGTAGAGTTGGAACCCAACTGTACAGAACCCAAGAGTCATCTAGTCCAACCCCCTGCAGTGCAGGGAAGTGCAACTCTGGGAGGAGGGACTGGACAGCTGTCAATCCCACCTGAAGGCGACAAGCTTGACCAGGCCAGGGAAGAAGCAGCGATCCTCTGCCCTGGTGCTGGCGTGGCTCCTTCTCCCCACCTCTGCCTGGTTCCCAGCCCCCACCCTCCTCCTCAGCCTCTCCAGCAAATCACTGTTAATGCTTTGTTGTGCCTTCCTCAAGTAAACATAATAAAGCAAATAACAACTCTAATTGCATCAGGAAATGAATAGAACGATGATTAGAACCAATCAGATTGTCAACTCGAAAACCCCAGGGAAACTCGTAAATAATCCTTAACCTTTACGTGCGACAGAAAATTACTGCATCCCCACGTCGGAAGCCGACGGGATCGACTCCAGCACAGAAGGAAAGTTTCATGGCTGCAAGAGGGGAAGAAGTTGACTCCTGCGGGCGTTTCCTCTCCCTTCCTCTACCCCAACCCTCAATAATCTCTGGCTCTTGGAGGTGCTGGCATCTCAGAACGGGCACTTTGAGAAATTCCCGGGACCCTGAACATAAAAATGCCAGAAGAGGCTTCTGAAGGACCAGGGGCGCAGTCTGGGAGTCATTTTGGACTCACAACTGTCCATGGAGGCACAGGTCCATTCTGTGTCCGGGGCAGCTGTTTACCAGCTCCATCTGGTACGCAGGATGAGACCCTCCCTGCCCGCGCACTATCTCGCCAGAGTGGTGCATGCTCTAGTTATCTCCCGCTTGGACTACTGCCATGCGCTCTACCTTTGAAGGTGACCTGGAAACTGCAAGTAATCCAGAATGTGGCAGCCAGACTGGGGACTGGGGGCGGCCGCCGAGACCACATAACACCGGTCCTGAGAGATCTGCATTGGCTCCCAGGACGTTTCCAAGCACAATTCAAAGTGTTGGTGCTGACCTTGAAAGCCCTAAACATCCTTGGTCCAGTATCCCTGAAGGAGCGTCTCCACCCCCATTGTTCAGCCCGGACACTGAGGTCCAGCTCCGAGGGCCTTCTGGCAGTTCCCTCATTGCGAGAAGTGAGGTTACAGGGAACCAGGCAGAGGGCCTTCTTGGTGGTGGCACCTGCCCTGTGGAACGCCCTCCCATCAGATGTCAAGGGAACAAACAACTACCAGACTTTTAGAAGACATCTGAAGGCAGCCCTGTTTAGGGAAGCTTTTAATGTTTGATGCATTACTGTATTTTAATATTCTGTTGGAAGCTGCCCAGAGTGGCTGGGGAAGCGGAGCCAGATGGGCGGGGTATAAATAATAAATTGTTGTTGTTGTTGTTGTTATCATCTGGATCAGGCCAAGGGTCCATCTAGTCCAATGTCCTGTTCTCAGATGCCCCAATGAGCAACTCTCTCTTCCTGGGCTTCCCACAGAACAGAAGAAGGTTATGGATCAGGCCAGTTGTCTACCTGCTGCCTCCAACTGTGGAGCCAGAACAGAGCCGTCCTGGCTAGGAGTATCAACAGCCCTCTCCTCCTCCAGGAATTTGTCCAATTCTCTTTCTGAGCTGTGGGAGGGAGTTCCACAGTTTAACTCTTTGCTGCAGGAACAAGGACTTTCTATCATCTCTCCTGAATCTTCCATGAGCTCTCGCATTAGGAGAGAGGGAGATAAACTTTGCTCGATCCGCTCTCTCCAGGTTGTGCCATAGTTTTTTTAAAAAAATTCTACCATGCCACCTCTTTCTTCTTGCTTCCCAGAGTGAGAGCAGGGGTTGCTTTTTTGTGTGCTTTGTGTTGTGGCTTAATTCCACTCAGTGTGAGAGAACGAGCTGGTACAGAGTCAGGCCTTGTGTGGGTGGGAGAAGAGGAGGGGAGGCATTGCGTGGCCTTATCTGGGGGGTGGGAGGGAAATGAGCTGGTGGCAAATTGCACTTAATGCTCCCAGGGATGTTTTTTTATAGACCAGACTTCACTTTGCAACAAACAGTTGTCTGGAAATGAGCTATGATTCTGAAAGTCAATTTTGCAATAACTTGCTTGCATTGGATTGGATTGTCATGTGCGATCGTGGTTGCATATTTTGTCGTTTCTTCAGCTCGTAAAACATCTTGCGTGGTGCTTCCCCCCCTAAAAAACCGTTTAGGGGTACAGTCCAAAATGGGAAAAATAAATACAGTAAACGGACAAAAGTACAAAGATCCACAAAATGTTTAGGAGTAAGCATACCCCTGTGTACCCCCAGAAAAAAGCACTGATCTTGTGTATAGCAATGTAGAAAGGAGGCATAGATATAATAATAATAATAATAATAATAATAATAATAATAGTTTATTTATATCCCTCCCTCCCCAGCTGAAGCCGGGCTCAGAGTGGCTAAGAACCGTAAAAATAGCACAATTTTCATAAAATCACAGTCAATTAATTGAAATACGTTCTAAAATCAATTCAGAATCAAATTAATGGCAACCATTGGGCTAGAGTTCTGTGCGGATTTCCAAAGGAAGGGGTCAGACTGTGTCTTGGCCAAAGGCCTGGTGGAACAGCTCTGTCTTGCAGGCCCTGCGGAAAGATGTCAAGTCCCGCAGGGCCCTAGTCTCTTGTGACAGATCAGGGCCAGTACCGAAAAAGCCCTGGCTCTGGTTGAGGCCAGCCTAACCTCCCGGTGGCCTGGGACCTCCAACATGTTTTTGTTTGAAGACCGTAAGGTCCTCCATGAGACATACCAGGAGAGGTGGTCCTGTAGGTACCAGGGTCCTAGGCCGTAAGATGACTTTAGAAGAGGACACAGAGGTTTCTGGGGGTACTCAAGGATATGCAATGCTGGCACATTTCCTTCTAGAAGTAAAGCCTTGGTTAAAAATGTGGTACTTGCAGTAACAACTTCACAGTGAGTACCGACACAATTTTTTCAAGAAGAAGATCACTGAGAGGACGGGACAAATTTATGGCTATCAACATCAACTTCTACTACTAGCCCAGAGGGCTCAGCTCTGTCTACACAGTTCTGCAGGAATCTCAGCTCAAGCATCCATGGCAGGTGGCCCTCCCACCTCTGCCTGGAAACCTCCAGGAAGGAGAGCCCACCATCTCTGGACGGAGACTGTTCCACAGTTGAACAGCTCTTGCTGTTAGGACGTTTTCCCTATATTAGGTAAAGCTAAAAGGACCCCTGACCATTAGGTCCAGTCGTGGCCAACTCTGGGGTTGCAGCGCTCATCTCGCTTTATTGGCCGGGGGAGCCGGCGTACAGCTTCCGGGTCATGTGGCCAGCAGGACTAAGCCGCTTCTGGCAAACCAGAGCAGCGCACGGAAACGCCGTTTACCTTCCCGCCGGAGTGGGACTTTGACGTGCTTTCGAACTGCTAGGTTGGCAGGAGCAGGGACTGAGCAATGGGAGCTCACCCCGTCGCGGGGATTCAAACCACCGACCTTCTGATCGGCAAGCCCTAGGCTCTGTGGTTTAACCCACAGCACCACCCACGCCCCTATTTCCTATATTACACCTGCAAAAATTGAAAAAAAAATGTATAGAACAGGCTCCAACAAATGTTGGAAGTGTAAAGAAAAAGAAGGCACATTTTTTCATATGTGGTAGAATTGTAATTTTTTTAAAAAAAAATACTGGGAAATGATATATAATTAAATGAAAAGAATGTTTAAGATCACCTTTGTGAAAAGACCAGAAGCTTTTTTATTAGGCATTTCAGATCAAGATTTAACAAAAGAAAAGAAAAGAACTTTTTATGTATGCTACAACCGTGGCGAGAATATTGCTAGCCCAAAGATGGAAAAGTGATGAAATACCAGCCAAAGAAGAATGGCAAGTAAAGCTGATGGAATATGCTGAAATGGCGAAGCTAAGTGTAAGACTCCGAGACAAGGACAAGAGAGACTTTTAGAAAGACCGGGAACCATTTATGTTATGCCTACAGAAACAAGGTAAAGACATGAACTCACTAGCAGGTTTTGATTAAACACTGAACAACTAGCAAAATAAACGCAGGAACTATAAGGTGGATGTGAAATGAGAAGAGTATAATAATATTCAAGTTAAAGATTGCAAAATTAAGATATTAACGTCAGCAGGAGAAGTTAATATGTAAAAATATCCGGGAGAGGAAATTGAGGGAAGTCGGCGGGGGGGGTGTGAATTGGGGAAGTAAGATATTGGATATTTTTTTCCCCTGTTATGTGATATGATATTTGGATGCTTAAAATGCAAAACTGAATAAAAATTATTATTATTATTATTATTATTATTATTATTATTATTGAAGTTTTTCCTGATGTTTGGTCAGAATCTCCTTCCTGGTAACGCAAAGCCATTGGTTCAGCTCCAACCCCTGGAGCAGGAGAAAACAAACTTCTTCTTCCATGGAACAGCCCTTGAGATATTTGAAGATATCTCACCCACCTGGACACTGTAGAGTTTTAGAAGATCCCAGAGCCCCTGTTTTCCAACGCCAGGGGATTTTGAAATGCTGAAGTTTGTTCTGGGCAGTGATGGGATCTTGCATCTTTTCTCCCCTGTTAAAATAGCGCTGGATGTTGTGACAACCAGAGTTGGTTTCAAAAGCGCTTCCTGCATTCTGAAGAGGCACCTCTATGTTGCGGAATAATTAATCTTTGCCCCTGCTGCATTTGAAGTGTGGGGTGAGGAAATTCAGTGACTCATCTCCCGGCTGCCTTTCATTGGGGGGTGTCCTTGTCATCCGCAGAGGGGAGGGGGAGGCAGAGAGGTCAAAGTGTCGCACGTCAGGAAACATGCTCAGCCTGACCTCCAACATCACCCGAGTGGCGGAGAGCCGCTCCGAATGTTGATGCTTCCAGTCGCGGATGACGTTCCCTCGATTGCAGACTGTGATCCGAATGCACAATGTCAGCAACAGGGCTTCAACTTGTTTATGTCTCTCTGACATGTCAGGAATTCTGGTTTACCGCTCTAGACTCTCCTGTGTTTTGGACAGAATTTCATTTGACACATCCGGAGATGAGATTTTCATATTTGAGAGCGAAAGGAAGAGAAAAACTTCATTGGGCATCCATACACTCTAAATCAGAGAACTGTAGAAAGGTAGACTTGGAAGGGACCCCGAGGGTCATCCAGTCCAACCCGCTGCAATGCTGGAATCTCAGCTAAAGCATCCATGGCAGATGGCCACCCAACCTCTGCTTAAAAACCTCCCAGGAAGGAGAATTCACAATCGCCCGAGGGAGACCGTTCCTCTGTTGAACAGCACTTGCTGTCAGGAAGTTATTCCTAAAGTTTAGTCAGAATCTCCTTTCTTGTAACTGGAAGCCGTGGGTTCGAGTCCTAACCCTCCAGAGAAGAAAGCTTGTGTCAAGGGATGACTTTCAATAGATGGCAGCAAGGGGCTCCTCTGCTACGTACGAGACCCTGAGGTTGTCATCCATACACAGGTGAATAAGCAAAAAAGCGGAAGGGGTCGTGCAATACCTGCCCAAAATCATGCAGCTAGAAAAATGCAACCTGTGCTGCTGAAAGAAGCAGTGTGACTCATGCAGCACGTTGGCGATTAATATACACAGAACAATAGTTATACATACTTTATCAACCTTTTTGCACCTATTCAGTCTTATAGAGAATACTCTTTCAGTCTCTTGAACTTAAGCCAAGAAAGAGTATTCTCTATAAGATTGAATATCAATACAGTAGTACCTCGGGTTACATACGCTTCAGATTACAGACTCCGCTAACCCAGAAATAGTACCTTGGGTTAAGAACTTTGCTTCAGGATGAGAACAGAAATTGTGCTCCGGTGGCGCGGCAGCAGTGGGAGGCCCCATTAGCTAAAGCGGTGCTTCAGGTTAAGAACAGTTCCAGGTTAAGAACAGACCTCCAGAACAAATGAAGTACTTAACCCGAGGTACCACTGTATATGTATCAAGACTTTAACATTAGACCACTGAAGAAGCCCAGAAAACGACCTTGGGAGTGTGCTACCTGCAAGCCCCAGTAAAAGGGCCCCACTGGGGGCAAACAGCCGCCTCTTGATTACTTGGACTGCCGGGCAAAACAGGTGCAAAACGCCGACACCTTGTCGTCCGCAACTTCATTGTCTACAATTTCACTAACATCCATCTAAAACTTCACTAGCATCTCTCGGTATTGTGAACAACACCAAACTTACCTTTTGTTGGTATCTGCATGAACTTATCCAAAAGACTGATTTAAGCGTTTGAAAAATCTATTGAAACCAGACATTATAAGTTCATCTTAGGTTGGGTATTTCGCAAGTCTCTGTGGCTTTGCACACGGTTTTGTATTTTTCTCAGAAGGTTGATAAAGTATGTATAATTATTGTTCTGTGTATATTAATCACCGGCGTGTTGCATGAGTCGCACCACAATCATGCAGCGGCAGAGCGTGTGCCTGCGTTGCCCAGGGCGGGCACACTCCCGGGGGGGCGTGGTGCAGATGGTGCCCTCCCAGGCCCAGGATAGCCACTTGGGTGCACGGAGCAGGGGGCGCGCCCTGCAGCCAGGGGCGGAGTGAGCCCCCCACGGGACAGAGCGAGCTGCTGATAGTGGACATTCGGCACACTGCCCACCCGCAACTCCCAAGAACCCCCCAACCTGTCAAAACAAAGGGGGGAGGGAGAATGTTCGGGGCAGGCTTGGGAGTTGCGGGCAGGCGGCGTGCCAAATGTCACCCCCTCAGCAAAGACACCCAGGGCAGTCCGCCCCACTGCACCCCCCTTCCTCCGCCCCTGCAATCATGCACTGTTTGGGATTTATCTTCTAAACGGTTAGCGGGAGATTTGCATCCTTGGCAAGTAGCAGCTGGGAAACGGCAGCACTTACAGGGTTGCAACTGCTGAAGATGTGCATGTCAAAAATTGCTGATTTTCTCGTGAAGAACAGCCTTTGGGAAGGAGGGAAGAGATCCCTTTCAGGGAAGCAGCAGCACCAGGAACACTTGCAAACCTCGGCCGCTGAACAGATTTCACGGCGCCGATTCTACTGAGTCCCACCCCGAATAAAATGCACGCTACGCAGCTAATTAATGGACCACATTGGTAATTAACCAATTCCCAGATGTTTAGACATCCGTGCGATTTGCAAAAGGATTCTACTTAGCGTGCAATTTTCTCTCCAGGCTCCCTTGGCTGTGAAAATGCAGATCGGTTTCTGGGCACAGAACGGGAGACCCAGAATAGGAGCCACGCGGCTTCTGTTTTACACCCCCCCCCCCCCGGAAGCTTTCAAGAAAAGGCAGTGGATAAGTGTTTAAAAGCAATAATTGCATTAAATTGATGGTTCCATTTATAGCCCAGCCTTCCTCCAAGGAGCCCAAGGGGGCACCCGCGGTTCTACCCCTCTCCACTTTTATTTTCACAACAACCCTGGGAGGTAGGTCAGACGGAGAGGCAGGGACTGGCCTGTGAGGCCACCCAGTGAGTGGGGATTCGAACCCAGCACCCTACCTAGAACACAACCACTGGCTCCTAAACAAGAGGAAGTGGTTCTCTGGAAACCTCAGGGCAGGGGTAGGCAAACCAAGGCCCGGGGGCCGGATCCGGCTCAATCGCCTTCTCAGTCTGGCCCGCGGACGGTCCGGGAATCAGCATGTTTTTACATGAGTAGAATGTGTCCTTTTATTTCAAATGCATCTCTGGGTTATTTGTGGGGCATAGGAATTTGTCCATTCCCCCCCAAAAAATATAGTCTGTCCCCCCACAAGGTCTGAGGGACAGTGGACTGGCCCCCTGCGGAAAAGGTTTGCTGACCCCTGCCTCAGGGGAGCATCACATGCCGAAGGAGACCATGGGCCCATTGACCTCAGTATTGTCCACACTGACTGGCAGCAGTGGCTCCCTAGAGCAGGGGTCAGCAAACTTTTTCAGCCGTGGGCCGGTCCACCGTCCCTCAGACCATGTGGGGGGCCAGACTATATTTTGGAAAAAAATATGAACGGATTCCTATGCCCCACAAATAACCCAGAGATGCATTTGAAATAAAAGGACACATTCTACTCATGTAAAAACACACTGATTCCCGGACCGTCCGCAGGTCGGATTGAGAAGGCGATTGGGCCAGATCTGGCCTCCGGGCCTTAGGTTGCCTACCCCTGCCCTAGACAGGAAAAGGCTTTTATATGTGCAATGGTGTTTTTTAACTGTTTCTATATACAGTGGTACCTCGGGTTAAGTACTGAATTCGTTCCGGAGGTCCGTTCTTAACCTGAAGCACCACTTTAGCTAATGGGGCCTCCTGCTGCCGCTGCACCGCCAGAGCACAATTTCTGTTCTCATCCTGAAGCAAAGTTCTTAACCTGAAGCACTATTTCTGGGTTAGCGGAGTCTGTAACCTGAAGCGTATGTAACCCGAGGTACCACTGTATTTAACGGTGCTTTGAAACGTCAAAAAAGTGTGTTTTTAAAAAACACATTTTTTTATAGATTTTCCAAAAATAAAGCAATCCCAAATACATATCCGTATAGATTACTCTGAATCTCACGACTCCCCCCCAGTATCCCTTCTATGAGTCCTAATGTGAACAATTTCAACCACATATTATCTCCTAATCTATATTTTGTATTCACCCATATTATCCACAATACCTGTTACATTACAGGTGATATTAAAATCCTACTCATCTTTTTATCCGCCTACAGTAGTCTCCTAAGTAAATTATAAATCTTCCCCATTCTTTTTTAAAGTTTTTGTCCTCTTGGTTCCTGAGTTTTCTGGTCAGATTTGCCATTTTGGCGTAATCCATCATCTTACTTTGCCATTCCTCTCTGGTAGGGACATGGTCTTCTTCCTATCTCTGAGCTGGTAGCATCCATGCGGTTGTTGTCACATACATAAAAAGTCTTCTCTGCTCCTTTGGAATATCGGTACCTAAAAGTCCTAATAAAAAAGCTTCTGTTTTTTTAACAAAAAATATTTTCAACATTTTCTCCAGAAAGGGAGAAAAAAAGTGCAACGCTTAAACCGGTTTTATACATGCAAATGTGCCTGTGTATAGAATAGAATAGAATTTTATTATTATGGTCACAGACCAGTTCCGGGTCACTTACAATATCAGGAAAATCATAAAACACAACAGGAATACATTGAATCACAATTGGGTAGAACAGAGACAATTCAGATATAGCGGCAGTTAAAAAAATATGTTAAATCTTGATCACTAAAATATAACCTGAAATTATCATTTTAAACCTTAATCATTTTGGTAGGCCTGTGTATATAATGGTCTCATGAAATCACCTTGCGGTATATGTAAAATATTGGGGGAGAGAGAAAATCTACCATATTAGAGGAGGGCATATAAAACTGCAGAGGAAACGGCTAATTTTGGCAAAACTACCTAGTTTTCATGGGTTAAAAATGGGGAAAAGGAAGACAAAATGAGCAAGATTGGAGAACGCTTAAAGAACAAGGGACAATTAACTATAATTCTTTAACAATTACATGAGAAAATATGGTTTGACTCAGAATAACCCTCTTTTTTGGGATGGTAATTATCAGAGGCTAAAATTACCATCGATTTGTTTTTTGTGATTTTACAAAATTATTATGTAGTATAAAAGGGGATTGTTGTTAATTGTCAAGAATGCAGTCTGTCACGATTGCTGCAAACTGCACTTGTATTAAAAATAAATTGTTTTAAAAAGTTAATTAAAAGAGAGAGAGATGCAGAAAGGGAATAAATAAATAAGTCCCAGAAACAATTGTGGGTCTCCAGGAGTTTCCTGGATAATGAGGACATTTAATTCTCCAGAGAGCCCCCCCCCCCCCAGTTGGAGAACATGGGGGCGATCATGGAAAAAGAAGACATTGTTTTGCATAACATGCATATGTACTACTTCACATAAATGTATGAATATTTAAAGATTATTTTTATTTATTTTTAAAATGTATATTTATATCTCCACCCCCATCATTCAGC